GACTTTGGTTTATGATGGTAGCATTGTAAGAACCCTAATTTTTATAATTTTTTTCCCCCCAATTCATAAAACGACATCGTTTTATGAATAGTGATCATTTAAAAAAAAAAAAATTTATCAGATCAGACTCCGTTAACCCCGTGAACGGAAAATTGATTATGTTAACGGTTTTGTGTGAATTGACAAAGATTTATAAGATTATGTAGTAAATTCAAAAACAAAAGGAGTTCATGTGTATTTAGGCCAGAGTCAATACTTAACGTATAAATAAACAATAACAATATAGTTCATGGAGGAATAGGATGTTGTCCCACTTCTTTACAGTGGTACACAATGGATTGAGTAGGGCATTACTTAATAAGTTAATTTGTTAATTATTAAATGGACAAATATGTAGCGTATTCTGATTTTGAAACACCAAAAACGAGATTTTGGTAAAACCATTAACTTGACAAAAAAAAAAACTTCAAATTTTGGTTATAGGTAACTCAATTTTTGGGCCAACGTTGGACCGCAGGTTGTTGTTTAGTCTGTAGATCAAAACTCTAATGTTCTAAGGATGAGAAATTGCTGAAAGGAAAAAAAGAAGATGATGTTGGTTTCTTGATTGACAAACTTGTACTACAACGTTGTTTGGTGTGCTTGCAATATCGCCTTTAGAGAATAGCCTTGATTGCTCACCCCCCTCTCTTGTGAACTTTCAGTGTTTATAAATGCGTTTAAGATAGGACAAAAGAGCTAGAACTTAATGGAAAATTTTTCAAAAAGTAATTTGTTGGGTTCGCTAAGTAAGCAGACTGAGGTTCACATTGAGTTTCTACAAACTGTCTACGAGCATGCACGGATGATTTGTGTATGTGTCATGACATTATCTGATCAATAATACACATGTCACGTAGGCCCGGCCCATTGATATTATGGGCTCTGTGCCAAAAACAAATTTTGGTAAAATTTTAGGGTTTTTTTATAAATTTTACAAAAATATAAAGTTTTTTTTTACAAATTTTACAACAATTTGAAACTTTTTTTACAAAAAAAATCGCCTACAATTGTGGGATCCATGATAAGGCCTTGTGCAGAAGCACTAGCCGCACACCATCAGGATCGGGCCTGATGTCACGTTCTGATGAATTATAATTTTATTTACGTCCGCGTTCTAATCGTGCGCATTCTCTTTTATATAATAACATATTCTATCAAATCCATATTATATTTTCTATTCAATTTTTAAAAATTTGATATGGATTTGGATATTTTTGTTTGAATTCAAATTTGAAAATTTGGTTTGATTTGATAAACTTGCACATTATTCTAACTTGTGGTGACAATTTAAGAATTTTATTTGGTCAAATGACGCAGT